AATAAGCCACACTCTGAAGTTCTAGGTAAATATAAATTTTGGGGGGAACTGTTCTACCCACTATGGCCTCCTTTATTGTATTTACCCAAAGAGCTTGTATATTACCATGAATCGTCATGAACACAACCTTTGAATGGTTGTACCCAATTCTGTTTTTCTATTTAGTTTACAGGAGGTCACAAATAACACCACTTAGGCCCCTGGGTATAAATCTTACAGTCATATTCTTTTCTGGGCTGACAGAGGTTCCTGGCTTGGTGAGCTGTGCAGGGGCTGTATTTAATCCCTACTCAGCTCTACTACCAACCACCTTTTTATACAGTGCAACCTACATACTGGACCTGGGGGTCCAAGTCTGAGAGACTGAAACTTGACTTCCACTGAGGTTCTATTAGTTTATGAATTTTTATGGTACTTTTATTTTCTGTTTTACAGTAGAAAATATACAATGTCTGAATTGAAAGAGGTTCTAGAGATCTTTTTCTCTAAATGCCTCATTCACACAGGAGAAAAACATCATTATTCTATGTTGTGCTAGTTGGCGTTCAATTGCTGTGTCAAAATGCCTCAGAAAATCAACTTAAAGGAGAAAAGATTCACTTATGATTCCAGGGGTTTAGTCTGTGATCACTTGGCTCTGTTTTTTCTGGGCCTGTGATAAGACAGAACAACTTGGCAAGGAGCATGTACTGGAATAAGATGCTCACCTCATGGTGGTTAGGAAGCAAAAGAGAAAGGTATACTCATGGACATGCCCTCAATGATCTACTTCCTCCAAGCAGGCTCCACCTCCTCAAATGTCCACCATCTCCCATGAACCCATTAAGTTAAGAATCTATCAATGAGTGAGTCCAAGGATAAGGTCAGAGCCCTCAGAATCCAGTCATCTCCCAAAGGCACCAGCTCTGAATACTGCTGCAATGTGAGCCAAGCCTTCAACCTATGAGCTTTGGGGACATTTCAGAGCCAGATCATAATATATTTATATATTAAAAATATATTATATATAATATAAATATGTGTATATTTATACATGTTACATATACATATTATATATATTTTAACCTTTATTTTATTTATTTATGTGGTGCTGAGGATTGACCCTAGTGCCTCATTGCTAGGCAAATGCTCTACCACTGAGCCCCAACCCCAGCCCCAGCCCCAAATTTTAAACAGGGTCTCATTAAGTTTCTTAGGGCCTTACTAAATTACCGAGACTGGTCTTGAACTTGTGGTTGTTCTTCCTTAGCCTCCTGAGGTGCTGAAATTGCGGGCATGTACAACCAAAACATATATTAATATGCTGCTTATTGATTCATAAAATATGGTTGAAATTTGTTATTTTTCAGTCTCAGGAATAAAGATCCAAGAATTTTAACTGATTTTGCTACAAACGAAGATAAAATCTCCAGTCCTTTGACTTTCCTCAGTATTCTTGATTGTACTATGTTGGTTGGGATATAGGCCTGTATCCCATGTTCCACCTAGGTATTTAAATAATGACATCATCATTATTTAAAAATGTTTATTATTTGGGAAATGTTCATCCTCTTAGATCTGTACTCAAACACCTTCTGAAACTAACTAAGGCTTTCTTCCTTTCCTTTGAACTTTGCTTTGAAGAGTATTTTTTTTAGAAGATAAAATAAATTGTGTGTCCTTTTAAAATTAAAATGACCACCTCTTTGTATTTTTTTAAATAAATATTCATCAGTTACCATAGTACTCTCATTGCTTTGGCATGCCTGATATTTAAACAACGTATTTCAAAGGAAAGAAGAGAAAAATATACAACATTTTCCTTTCCTGCAATACGAATAACTTTTTTGGGGGGTGGAGGGGATACATGTTTTTGCACTTTTGTAGAGAAAACCTTCAATCGATTTTCTCAGACCTGAAATAAATAGGAAGTCATCTGTAATCTAACTACAAGACTAAAATTTGCTTAGTATTTGCTTCCTCCACAGATACTTTGTGGACAGTTTTAACTTTCTTGCTGATAGAGAACAGCACGGATTCTGAATTCCTTGGAGTTTAACACAATGCCTGTTCCACTCCCGGCTTTCAATAAGTTCATGCTGGCTGAATGACGATACAACTGCTACTGTTCCTTGATGGTATTCATTCTGCTCTGGCCACCCTATCTACTCAATCTCTGAACACACCACACTTTTCTCAGCTCTGTGCCTTTGCAGATGTTATTTACTTTGCTAGGAATACATCTGTAATGAGTCCTTTGACAAGTTCCTATTCATGCTTTCAGACCGACTGGAATGTCAGATCCTTTGTCAAGCATTTCTCAAAAGCAAGATGATGTCTCATGCATCCTTACATTCTTAGTGCCTGGCACAAAGTTAACTTGTATAGAATGAACAAATGAAAAAAGGGAAGGAACAGAACCAGTATCCCATAGTGAATAAGACCTTATGTATAGTCTGACAAACCTGGATTCATAGCCCTGTTTTTCAACTTAATGACTCTGTGGCCTTGGTCAGGGTACTTCCCTACTCTGAGACTAAGTTTCCTTCATTGTAAAATGAGAATAATGAAAGTACCTGATTCAAGAGGTTCTTTTTATTTTTCCTTGTGGTACTTGGTCATTGAACCCAGTGATCCTCTACCACTAAGCCACATTCCAGTCATTTTTTTTATTTTGAGACAGGGTCTTACCAAGTTGCCAAGGCTGACTTTGAACTTGAGATTCTTCTGCCTTATCCTCCTAAGTTGCTTCAAAAGCTTCTTGTGAGAATAAAATGAGACTTTTATTTAAAAGTCTTTGCCTAATATGTGCTAAATAATAGCCAATGTTGGAAGAATTGTTTTGCAGTGTCCTTTGATTGCAATGGGGAGATAGTGCTGTGGATGAATCTGGCTGACTTCAATGTGATCCGATCAGATTGAAATATTTCAGTCAGGGAGCCATGAAACTGCCAAGGCCATTACCACATTTTCTTTCTAAACTAAACAGAGCAAAATTAAAAACAAACAAACAAACAACAACAAAAACCAAAGTCCACTAACTGGAAAAGAGTTGATTAGAATTTATTTTGACATTACAGTTTTAAGAGAAAGAGACACCCTCCCCCCACACAAAGAGAACAAAGAGAACGGTTTTCTGAAATACAAAAAAAACTTGCAATTAACTTCTAGAGGATGAGCTTAGATTATCTTCAGCCTAAACTTCTCTTTGTACAGTGGCAAATAGTCATTGTAGAGACCTAATTCAGCTTATGGACTGTTGATTCGGCCTGACATTGTGCTTTTGGGATGGATACCAACATGAAATAAAAAACTGTTATGGAAAATTTCAATATGTACCAATTATAGCAAATTAGGGTAATGATTCTCCATGTAGCTATCACCCAGCTTGGATATAACTTGATAGTGCTCTGCCATTCTGTTCCATTCCTCCTCTCCCTTTTTGTTCATTTTGCAATTTAAAAAATATCAAATATCATATATTTATTTCATTCAAATATTTTAGTAAATATATCTTTTAGATAAAGATTTATATTTTAAAAAAAATGCATAACTACAAATCATCACCAAACCAACAAAATTAAAAATAACTTCTTAAAAGGATCTAATACCCTGTTTGCATTCAGTTATTCCTGATTATATCAAGTCTTTTTTTTTAAAACCAGAATTCAAACCTACATTTATTTGGTATGTATATTAAGTTTTCTAATACACAGCAATTCTCAATTTTTTTCTTGTTTCCATGCTGTTTACTTGTTGAATAATTTAAAAACATCCCCCCCACACATCTTTTGAATTGACAATTTTTTTTTTTTAAATCTTGTCTCAGCTACTCAAGAGGCTGAGGTAGGAGGATCACTTGAGCCCAGGTGTTTGAAGTCAGACTGGGCAACAGAGTGAGACCCTGTATAGAAAAAAATTCTAAATTAACCCAAAACTTCATGAATTGGCATCTTTCTCATCTTAAGCATTCTAGTTCATCTGTTTTACTGTCTTCTCTTCTGTAAATATTTTTTTCACCTGTGTGGTGGTTTGATCTTACAAAAGCTATTGGACAAAGGCTTAGAGACTCTGATTTGAGTCATATTCCTCTATGAAAAGGGGGTCATCATTTTGTATCTCTGAATCAACCATGCAGGTGGAGGTAAAACAGCCTATCAGGGTAGCTGGGGAGCTTAAAGAAACTAACAGATGTGAAATTAATTTGTAAACTATATATCTCTGCACTCAAGCTATTACTATGCATAAGGATATGCTGAATTATGCATAACATCCTCTTTCACGCCTCCATGGATTTACATTGCTGATTCTTCTCTCTGTAATGCCCTTAAGAATTAATTGCTAGTCATCTGTGGTCTCTGAATACTTTATGTCTATTTTATTTTTACCATTTGTCACACTGTATTAAGGCCATTCATTCACATCTCTGTCTTCTGTGAGATTCTGAGAGCACACCACCGTTTATTCTGTGTTTGGCATACAGCTGTCCCTCAGGACAAGTCTATTGAATTGGACAGGATTGATTTGAATAGTTATCATCTTTGTGTCTGTCCTGAAGGACAAAGTCTACACCTCTAAAATTGTTTAGAAATGCCATCTGGTAACTGGCCAGCCCTGGCACAGCTGTTGTTGTTGTTGATGATGATGATGATGATGATGATAGCGCACAAAAATAACATTCTGTATTTTTAATTTAAATAAATTATCAGATTTATCAAGCACATTATTTGTAATTTAGGTTCATTTTCAATCTATTTTTTTAAAAATATTTTTTAGTTTGCCAATGGAATTTTTACTTTATTTCTTTATCTAGATATGGTGCTGAGGATCAAACCCAGGGCCTCATACATGTCAGGCAAGAGCCCTACCACTGAGCCACAACCCCAGCCCAATCTAACCATGGAAAGCTTCACATTTAAAATACATTTTCCTGCTGGAGAAAACGGAAGGTCCCAGTCCTCAGTTTTGGCTTCAGTTCTCAGGTTTTCTTGATTAACTTGGGGCTTCTTGTTCTCTTCCAGCTGGTTTGCCATTCACCCTGTCAGCATGAACAACAGCAACCATCTTGTAAATAGTGACAATATGGGCTATGCATCTTACCTTTTTGAGCAAGAGAAGAACAAAGGATATCTCCCTGGACAGGTGAGAATTTATGTCATTGAAAATTTCTTCTAAATTTGTCAGGTGTTGTCATTCATGCAATGGTTAGAATCGCTGATTCATATTTCTAGAATAAAGTGTCATCATGGATCACACATAAGATTGGATAGAAAGAATTTGCAGTTCTCCTTAAGAGGGAAAGAAAAATTTAAAATGATGAATAAACTATTTGTTCTTTGTGGCTAGATATTACTTATAAAGTTACAATCTGTTGCATAATGAAGAATAAGTCATTTTTATAATACATAATAGCTTTTTTTAAAGAATTTTTTTAAAGTTGCAGATGGACACAATACCTTTATTTTTTTATGAGTGTTGAGGATTGAACCCAGTGCCTCACCCTTGCTAGGTGAGTGCTCTACCCCTGAGCTACAACCCCAGCCCCTGTGTAATAGTTTTTGACCTAGGTGGAAACATGATAAGCTATATTGATGTTAACTTTGTTTTCAGAGCCATAAAAGTATTAAGCACCTTATTAATGGTGAAAGAATCCCGAAAAAGGATAGGTGATAAGTCCTTTTCACTAGTCCAGGCTTTCTTCGTAATGGTATTCCTTTCATTTTCCTAAAAGAAGGCCTAGAGACAGGTTAGAGACAACTATAATCCGTCAGACTTGTTTAGTAGCTTTGGAACTCACTGAGTGAGCAGATCAGACTTGGAGGCGCCATGAAGCCAATCCATGTACTGCAGGAACTCTTCATCTGTGGGCAAATTAGTAACTACAAAGTGGGAGGAGAGACCCTGTTCTACCTTACCACGGCATACAAACACCAAATGTAGAGGAATATAGAATGGAATAGATTCCCGGGACTTCAGGTAGAATGAATGTTCTGTTATAAATATAGTAACCCCACTAGCATTCAGTCTGATGTTTTATCTCATTTATTGAAAAACTCTTTTCTTATTTTAGCCTCCGTTTTAGGGAAATGAAAAGAGATTCCCATTTATAATCATTGCCTGAGTGTTAGGCAGTTTGACATAAATTGTCCTTTGAGTATCAAAAAAGGCATGTGATTTCCCATGCTTAGTTATCACTTTCTCTAAGAAAAAAATAACATTTAAGGACGTGGAATGGTAGACCAGTTGGGTCAAGGCTGATTAGAGGTAGGATTCACAGAGGGCAAGTCTGGATGCTGGATGGTATGTTTTGATTCAGTTTTACAATAGAGAAATCTGAAGTTGCTCTTTGCTTTTTTGTCAATACAACATTTTAAAAAAGGGTAAATGCATCCCTGAGCTCCAGATAAAACACTAGACACTGGATTGATAGGTCCACATTTCATTGTTCTTACTGTGTTTTCTTGTCTCAATATTTCTGTTTGAGGCATAAATTTGAAATTCAATCCTCCTTTCAATGACCCTGTGTTAATTGGAATATTTTCAGTAGTGATATGTATACTGACTGCAATGTGAATATTTTCAGAAGTGAAAATTGACCTCACAATATTGTACATTCTCTTTTTATCATCAGCAAATGATTTTGAATAGTTTACTAGAGTAGACTGAATGTATCTTTAATGGAAGTCATTATAGGAAGTAAGAAAGAATAAAAGATAATGGAGTGTTTCTTTCCGCAGGGACCATTTGTAGCAGCCTTTGCTTCATCAAACCTAGGAGATGTGTCCTCCAACATTCTTGGCCCACATTGCCTCAATACAGGAGAGTCTTGTGAAAATGCTAATAGTACCTGTCCTATTGGCGGGGTAAGTAATTAGGGCTCATGAAATCTTTGTTTTTGCATCTCATGTGCACTTCATATTTAAACATTCATCATTAATTTACAAATATGTTGTTCTTAGGGTACACTGGCTGTTTAACTCAAGTGCTTACTCTTTTTTAAAGCACCTGTCCAAACTCACTAAAGTTCTAGTGGATAAAGGTACAGAATCCATTTGATTGACTGTTAAGTTAAATGTCAGAGATTAAGTGTCCTTCCTCAAATTTGGGCTGTCTAAAACATTTTGCTTTGGCATTTCTGAAGTTTTAAGTTTGTACCAAAAGTTGCCTCCTGCGACATTTTTCACTAATTATAAATCTATAGTTTTTAAAAAATATAATATTAAAATGTCTCTATTTCTTTTAATATCACAATAAAAAACTTGCCATAAAAATTCAAATAACATGAACATACAGAGTAGTAAAAATCGAAAGTCTCTATTTATCCCCTTTCCTTCTCAGAAGTTATTATTCTTACAACTCTCCCTTATGTGTTTATCTAAGCAATCATAAACAAAAATTTTTCACTTATTTATGGAGTTTTTTATTGGTCTATGACTTGAATTTTTAACATAATTTGCTTTAGAAATCTTTTTTACATCTGCATCCTGATCTGTGTGAAAAATTTGAAAGATCACAAAGTTATATATCATCATTTATTTAACTGCTTCCCTCCAGAGTTCATTTAGATCTGCTTGTATGTTTGACAAGAGCATCAGTTGCTCATTTCTGGGTTCTTATTCTTTATGTTGCAAAACATTTCACCTGTGATATTATCTTTGTTTTAAACACTATTTTGGGGCTATTTATTCTATTTTAGTTAGCCATACCCAATAAGCAATATCGTTTTAGCAATTGTACTATGTACTACTGTTTTCATATAGAAACATTTTTTTGCTACTCTTCATTTGCAAAATTTTCACACATTATTAATTTATAATAAGTTTTAAGATTACTTGTTAAATTCCAAAATTTGTAAGTAAAATAGTTAAATAAGCTCTACTTGCTTGCTTTAGACTATTATGCATCAATTTAATGTCATCTGTTGAAATATTGAATAATGTGGGAAAAGACTACTCAATGTTGAGTAAGAAAATCAGGATTTAATAGTGCATATTTAGTATAATTGCAGTTTTTCAAAACAAATGTGTTGTAGAAAAAAGACAAAATGAAATATTCTGAATCATTAACAGTGGTTTTCTTTTTGGCACTATTAGGGTGGTTATTCTTCTCCAACTTATGCATATTTATGCTTTTTTTCTAAAAGGAGCATATTTTACTTCTGTAATCTAAAAAAATTACAGGACCTTTTATGCCCCCCACCCCCCGCCCTTGAATTCTTTTTCTCTCTGTTCAAGTGTTGGATTGGCTTCCCTCACAGCCTTTTATCTCTCCATGACAAATGCATGTATGATTTTACATACATGGGATCATGCTCTAATAATATTCTATGACCAGCCTCTTTATTTTCAATAAATATGCTGTAAATGATATGCTCTAAGTAACACTACTAAGCTGACTTTATATTTTATAGCTTTGAGTTCTATAATGTAGTTTACCCACCCTCTACTGATGGGTTTTTTCTTCCCTCTTCCCTTCCTTCACAGATGCTTTCTTCCTTCTTTTTTTTTCCTCTTCATATAAACATCACCCTCCTTTTCATACTTGTTTTCACAGGTACATGAATCTCAGCTTAGGACAAATTCTTAAAAGTGAGTTTGCTGTCAAAGAAACAGTATAACTACCACATGCTCCATATTGTCCAACTGCTCCCTCCATGATTTTCCACCAACCATGTATGAGTGCTGAGTCCCCAAACCCTCACCAAAGTTCTTGTAATCTTTGCCAATATAGTATGCAGAGTTATCTCTGTAGTTTACATTTCCATTTCATTATTTATGAGGTTGAACATATTTTAATATTCAAGGGCCATTCATATTTCTGTGTGTGTGTGTGTGTGTGTGTATGGGAATTACTTATTTCATATGTATTCCATGGTGTATTCACTAGGATATTTTTTACTTCAAGTAAGAGAAATCAATTCAATATGGATGAATGAAAAGGTATTTATAAGGGTATATTTTCTTTTTCTAAAAATTGAGACATATATATTTTTTTCAACTGGGGATAAAACTCAGGAAGCACTAGACCACTGAGCCACATCTCCAGCCCTATTTTGTATTTTATTTAGAGATAGAGTCTCACTGAGTTGCTTAGCACCTTACTTTTGCTGGGGCTGGCTTTGAACTTGCAATCCTCCTGCCTCAGCCTCCCAAGCTGCTGGGATTACAGGTGTGAATCACCATGCCCAGCAAGACATAATATTTTTACATTTTCATAAGGTATTTTATGATGTCAGTACATGTATAAAATGTGTAATAATCAATCAGGGTAATAAGCACTTCCATCTCCTCAAACATTCATCATTTTTATGTGCTGGGAATTTTGTATTCTTATACTTACTTTGAAATATATCATAAATTGTTTAGACCAATAGTTACCCAACTGTGTTTTGGAAAACAAGAACTAATTCCTTCAATCTAGCTGCGTTTTGCTGCCCCTTATCTTACTCCCCAACCTTCTTGGTCTCCATTCTATGAGGCTGACTTTTTAGTTTCCACAAACGAGTGAGAACATGCGGTCTTTGTCTTTCTGTGTTGGTTTATTTCACTTAACATAATGAATTACCTCCAGTTTCCTCCATGTTCCTGCAAATTATAGGATTTGATTATTTTATGACTAATATTCCATTGTGTATATACCACATTTTCCTTTTCCATTCACCCATTGATGGACATCTTGGTTGATTCCATACCTTACCTATTGTGAATGGTGCCGCAGTAAATATGGGAGTGCAAGAATCTAGTATGATAATTTTATCCCTTTAGCTTTATGTGGAGCATTTTGTTTTTACTGAATTTTTTAAAGCTTCTAATATACTAAAGTCTTAATATATTTGTCACAAATAGCATAAATTTTCTCTCCAGTTTATCAGTTGTCTTTTAGCTTTGCTTATATTCCCCCATCCCCAAACAACATTTATAATTTGTTTAAGTCATAAAATTTACTAAACCTTTTCTTTATTAGTTTTTGAAGGTTCTTCCATATTCTCAGAGTATATACTCAAATATATTATACATATATATATATATATATATATATATATGACTTGATTATTTTCTAATATTCCATTGTGTATATACCACATTTTCCTTATAATATATATTTTATTTTTTTCTAGATTTTATTTTTATTTAAGTATCTGCTCAATCTCAAAATTTTCTGATATAAGAAATAGGGTATAGACTTTATCTCTCACCCTGAAGAAAAATCAACTTAAAATGGATCAAAAACTTAGGAATTAGACCAGAAACTACCCAACTCCTAGAAGAAAATGTAGGATCAACACTTCAGTATTTAGGCACAGGCAAAGAGTTTCTTAGAGATGGCAACAAATTTAAAACTGTCTGCACAGCAAAGGAAACCATTAGGAAGATGAAGAGAGAACCTACAGAATGGCAGAAAATCTTGGCTAGCTACTCTTCTGACAGATGATTAATAGCTAGAATATATAAAGAACTCAGAAAACTTTACACTAAAAATGAGATAACCCAATTAATAAATGCACAAATGAATTAAAACAACACTTCTTAAAAGAAGAAATACAAATGGCTAACAAAAATATGAAAAAATGTTCAATATCATTAGCAATTAGGGAAATGCAAATCAAAACTACACTAAAATTTCATCTCATGCCAGTCAGAATGTTAGTCATCAAGAAGACAAATAATAATAAATGCTGGAGAGGATGTGGAGACAAAGGAACACTTTTGCACTATTGATGGGACTGCAAATTAGTACCACCACTATGGTAATCAGCCTGGAGGGTCTTCAAAGGCTAGGAATGGATCCACTCTATGACGCAGCTATACCACTTCTCAGAATTTCTCCTGAAGAATTAAAAGCATTGTACTATAGTACATACATACCCATATTTATAGCAATTGAGTTCTCAGTAGCCAAACTATGAAACCAACCTTGGTGTCCAAGAACAGATGAATGGACAAGAAAATGTGGTATATATACACTGTTGGGAAAACATATGGGCAGCCGCACCCCAGAGAAAAACCCCAGCATGGCATCTAAGGACTCTCCTTCTCTTCTTTGTTTCTTTCACTGGCGCGAAACGTTCCCGCCGGCGCCAATGTTCAAACCCTGCTGGTAGGAAGCCTTAGCTCCAATTAGAATTAACTTCTTGGGCCCCGGAACTGACATATGGAAGAGCTTGCCAATAAACGGGCGACCTGTTATCTACCTCAGCCCCTGCTACCTCTCTTAGACCTATATAAACACACAGCCACTTTTAATAAAGGGAGACTCTCTTTGGTAATCTGTGTCGTGTGGTGCGTTTTCCAGTCTTACATACACAATGGAGTTTTATTCAGCTACAAAGAAAAACAAAGTCATGCCATTTGCAGGAAAATGGATGGAAGTAGAAACCATTATGTTAAGCAAAATGAGTCAGTCAGAAGGTCAAGGGATGTATGTTTTCTCTCATTTGTGGGAACTACAGAGGAAAAAGGAAAAGAAAGTTGGAGGCAGATCTCATGGAAATCAAAGAAAGATCAGTAAAGGAAAGAAACCAAGAGGTGGGAGGTGGGAAGGGAGGGGTAAATGCTGGGGAATGAAATTGGCCAAATTATATTGTTACATTTTGTGCGTGTACAAACACGTAAAAACAAGTCCCATTATCATGTACAATTATAATACACCAATACAAAATGTAGGAAAATTTAAAAAAATATATGGTATAGAGTTAGATTTAGTTATTTTTTTCCAGAAGGCCAATAGTTTTTCTAAAATATGATTTTAACTGATTTTAGTTTAAGATGATCATAGACATGAGTCCTAGGAAACAATGAACAAAGAGAAACTTGTGCAACAAAGGGAAAGATGTGATTTCCTGCCTTAGCCTAAGTATTAGCTACCTGTATAATCTGCAACAAGTCTTTCAACCCACATAAACCTCAATTTCCTAATTTTTAAAACTAAGTTGCTGGAATAGATACTTCCTAAAAACATTCACTGCTCCAATTCCATGTTTGATTTTGTTTTTTCTAAGTCTATAATTTGAGAGACTATCTAAAAAGAAATGCTAGAATATAGCTTAAACAATCTATTTTGCTTAGATTCGGTGATAATTTTCCATTCCTTAGAATAATCACTCATTTCATTAAGGATGCATCTTTTCTCATGTTGTTCCAGCCCGGAATGTGCATTGCTAAGGGACCTGGACGAGATATGATTGACAGCACACAAATTATTGGGCGGACTATTTACCAGAGAGCAAAGGTAAGCCATGGGCCCAGCTCCTTGTGTCTGCATTTAGAATTGTTCTTTTAAGTCCACTGACATTATTTATTAGGAAGTCGATAATCACAAGGAAGACAGCAAGAACTCCGGCTGCGCCAGGAAGTCTGGAAGATGTCAGTTTGGAAGGTTGTCTTCGTGCACCACACAGGAACTGTCTCTGCCTGATTGGGTCAGATGTTTTATAGGAAGTACATCTAAAACCAATTAATCAGGAAAACATTTTATTTCAGAATATTTAGAAAGCCAGAGTGCTTGCCTCAGACAGAGGAGATAGATTGATTGTAAGCTTTTCAATTACTGTGTATTCACATAGGACCAGCCCCATTTAAATTCTCGGAAATCTTTCAATTCTTTGCCTGCCCAAAGTCATCCTACCATTTCTAAACTTGTCCTTTGGTGACGAAGCTGAGTGGCACAGCTCTTACAATTTGGATTCCAATTAGTTCCTCCTCTTCCTTGATAGAGCAAAGGCATGCCATCTTTACTTTTTTTCTTTCTTTATATTTTAAACACTTCATGATGAAGAACAGAATCTGGTCTGAAGTGAGATTACTATGCATTATTTTATCCTCCTCCCTCTCCTGAATTTTATCGTCCTTTTTGCCCCCATGTTTTGAATCAGTTTCTATGGAGACAGCTTTCTGAGGAAAGAAAAAGGATAACCCCTCAACTGACATGGACCCAATAAAGAGAATGAAGGCCATTTGTTTTTACAGCTTATTCATACTTTTGGGTGTGTGCATGCTCATGCATGCGCACATGCTGGTATGTGTAAATTTTTCATTCCCAGAGTTCTAAAATGTTTCAGGAGCAATTAAGAAAGAACAAAAGCATCTTTAAAAAAAACATCACACACAAAATTGGTAGCAGCAGCCAGCCTAATTGCTGCAGTTTCTTTTTAATCACTGTGGAATTATCAGTGGATTATTCTAAATTAACATATTCTATTTAGGGGGTGTGCCTCGACACACTTTGGTGTCAGAAATTTTGTTACCATCCTGGGCCTGGGAGCCATAGAGATTTGGCCCACATTCTAGATTCTCTTCTCAGCAAGGCACAACTTGCCTCTTAATTAGGAGAGGCAGGCTGCAGCAGTGCTGCCAAGCACTTACCTGAAAGCTCACATGTGGCTGTTGGAAAGGGGTGGGACAGAGTGGAAACGTCTAGGTGCAAGACAAGGGGACTTGTGCTGAACGGGATTTGCTTGTATTGTATAATACAAATGAATAAACACAAATGTTTCCAAATACGTTTTGACTTATACTTCCCATGACTGTAAAAGCATGCATTGACCATATTAAAAAACAAAACAAGACAAAATCACCAGAGGGTAGAATGTGGGTGGCAGAATTGATGCAAATTAAGTGGGGCTTGGGTTCTTTCAAGCCACCACTTGGCACCTGAACTCCTGGAGGACCTGAGGATCCTGAGAAGGATGACCCCACAAGGATACTGCCTGAGGAGGATACATTCTCATTCCAGCAAAGAAAGTATTTGGGCTCATCTAGTCCTAATCTTAAATTTTCTTGACTGTCTTTCAAATGAGATTGGGGCCTTTAGTGCCACAGCCTGTATCACTAGAATTTTGTATTTGTGAGGAGTACACACAGGTCCACCCTCTTGGAGCTTTTAAGCTTCTGGGAAGCAATTCAGTTTGACAGAACCACCCGGGTAGTGGCTACTTCTAAGCATACAGCAAAACAAAAGTAACTCATGGGTGAGAGATGCTTTTCCAAATTGGTGCTTACTGGGTATTGCGGGATCCATTCACCTTTGTTGTCTGGCTTGGGGCAGTAAGCTGTGTGGTGTTTCTAGGAACTGTATGCCTCTGCCTCCCAGGAGGTGGCTGGACCACTGGCTTCGGCTCACCAGTGGGTGAATATGACAGATGTGACCGTCTGGCTCAATTCCACACACACTGTAAGTATCGCTGAGTCACACTGATGATGCCACAAGGGCAAAGGGCTAGGGTGATCTAATTATTTACTTGCAGCTTAACTTCAATTTCTTTCTTTCTTTCTTTTTTGAAAACTTTCCTTTAGGCACAAACATGTAAACCAGCATTGGGCTACAGTTTTGCGGCCGGCACAATTGATGGAGTTGGAGGCCTCAATATTACACAGGGTGAGGTGAAGGTGGACAAAATCTGTGTCCCAGGTTCTGAAGCTTCTGTGTGGGGCTCGGGGCAAACCACATAGCTTTGCTATCTTGTTTGATTCTGTGTCTTTGCTAATAAGGTTCAATAGGAGCCAGTACATATGCTATTTTTTGTTTCAGAACATTGATATGTTGTATATCCATCAACCCAGGATACTTAGGTCATCCACCATCTCAAACAAATGTCATTTCTTTGGGATGGCAACATTCAGAATCTTTTTAGTTATTCTTTTAATTTTATTTTGTATTTGTTCTTTTTAGATACACAGGACAGTAGAGTCAGTATATTTTGACATATTTATACAAACATGGAGTGTATCTTATTCTAATTGGGATCCCAGTCTTGTGGCTTTCTATTTATTTTGAATTATACAGTACAATGTTGTTATCACTCTTCTGTGTAATAGTGCATCAGGAGTATTTTCTCCTATCAGGCTGTGACCTTGGACCTGTGAGGCGGTCTTTCCATATCTCCATACCTCCCTCCTGCCATGACCTCCAGTAACCACTGCAACCTCCAATAACCTCTGAGCTTAGCTTTTAAAAATCCCACAGATGAGTGAAATCATGTGGTGTTTATCTTTCTGTGCCTGGCTTATCCTGCTTAACATTATTATGTCCAGGTCTATCCATGTTGCTGCAAATGACAGGATTTCACTCTTTTGTATTGCTGAAGAGTACTCCATTGTGTATATGTATCACATTTTTTATTCATTCATCTCTTGGTGGACTCTTGTTTGATTCTGTATCTTTGCTATTATGAATAGTGCTGCAATAAACCTGGGAGTGAGTGCACAGGAAACATTTTAAATTGGGGCAAGGCTGGGAAAGAAGTAAGAGAGTCTGGAGGGGAATTGTCATTCAACAATGTGAACTTTCCACAATGTGAATTGGTTCTTCCATATTTTATTTTAATGTTTCCCTGATTTTATTGTAGCCAGTATGCCTCACAACAGAGGCCTTTTAGAAGCCCAAAGCATATGGTCTCAGGTCCTCTTCCTGTATTAAAATATTTAAATTTGTTTTTTGCAGGTCTTTATTTTTTTATTCTCTATTTTTATTGGTGCATTATGGTTGTACATAATGGTGGGATTCATTGTTCCATATTTGTACAATGGACAAGATATAACAATATGATTTGGTTAATATCATTCTCCCCATCTCCTTATCTTCCTCCCTCCCTCTGGTCTCTTTCTTCTACTCTACTGATCTACCTTGGAGTTCCAAAAATTTATGAAATATTATTTTAGCTCTTCCAGTTTTATCTAGTCTATCAGTATAATAATATGCATCGTAAAGGCAATAAAATGGAAAATATTGTAGTGTATTACCTACACACAACAGTGTGGCTTATTTCATTTTTGTCTTATACGCAGACACACATACATCATATATACACATATATCTCCATTAATTTAAAAAATTAATTAATATAGTTTAGACTTGACATTTTTGACATCTTATTTCCTGGGAATCATTCATCCAGTTTGATTTAATATTTTACTACAATTAGTTTTTAAATAACAGACTTATTGAGAGATGATTCACATGCCATACAATTCATCCATTTGAAGTATACAATTCAATGATTTTTAATATATTCACAAATATATACAACCATCACTGTAGTTGATTTTAGAATATTTTCTTTAGTTTGTTTGTGGTACTAGGGGTTAAACCCAGGGCCTTGTATTTGCTAGACAAGCTTTCTACCACCAAGCCACATCCTTACCCAATTTTAGAACATTTTCATCACCTCAGAACAAACTGCACACTTCAGCGATCCTACTCTCACACCCCCATCTTCCCCATATTTAAACAACCACTGATCTTTCTGTCTCTGTATTTTCCTATTTCATATAAATGGGATTACATAATATAACACTTTTTCATGACTTCTTTCACTTAGCATTGTGTTTTCAAAGTTCATCTATGTTGTAGCATGTACTTCAGTCCTTTTTATGGTTAAATGATACTCCACTATGTCAATGTGCCAGATATTTGTACATTGATCAGTTGATGGAAATTTGGGTTGTTCCAATTTTTGGCTATTATGAATAATGCTTCAATGAAGATTCACATACAAGTTTTTGTGTGGGTATATGTTTTCATTTTTCCTTCTTGGATACATATGTAGGAGTGAAATTTCTGAATTATACAATAACTTTATATTTAATATATGAGAAGCTGCCAGATTATATCTAAATTGGTTGCAAAATTGTTTTACATTTATTTCTGATTTTATTTGAGCCAGTATATTGTTTTACATTTATTCTAGCAGTGTATAGCGCTCTAACTTTTCTGATTTACTGATTTCACCTAGTCTAGTGGGTATGGGATGTTATCTCATTGTGCTTTTGATTTGCACCTTTTCATGTACTTGCTCATTTTTACATCTTCCTTGGAGAAATGTCTATTCATTTTTTTTTCTCATTTTTAAGTTTTATGGTATGTGTGTCTGTGTGTGTGTGTATGTGTATTTGTGTGTGTCTGTGTGTGTGTATGTGTGTTAGATGTTTGGGGATTCAAGAGAGATTCTTTCAGAGACCATACATCAGACAACTGGTATTGTAAGTTGGGGAGTCATTTTTATTTTTTAAAATAGGAAAGAGATGATTTAGTTCACTGCTCTACCATTGATTGTATCAAATTGTTTTTATTTACAACACAAATAAGCAAGGTTAATATACTCAAAACTTTGAGTGTTTTTTAACAAAATATATTCATTTATTCTCCTGTTTAAATTCAGGATCTAACTAATGGCTCTTATTGTGAGATGGACAGGGGATTTGACTTTTCTGATATTCAAACTGCCAGAAATAATTGAATAACTAAATCTATATAATGGCTTTTTTTCAGAGGGTTAGTTTAAGGGATCATATTAATCAGATTATTTCTAATAGGGAAAACAGAAGGGGATCCATTTTGGGACACCATTCGGGACCAGATCTTCGGCAAGCCATCAGAAGAAATTAAAGAATGCCATAAACCAAAGCCAGTCCTTCTTCACACTGGAGAGGTAATACTTTTTGATTATAATAGTGAAATTCATATTTTGTTATTTTTAAATTTATTAATTGTCAGATAACAAATAACAAATATCTACAGACATCGGAGATAACATTTAGATTTCACACATAAAATTTTTGATATTAAAATATGAATGCTGTAAGTCTGAGGACCTCAGGTCATGATATTAAATATACTGAGTTACCTTACTGCATTTATGATAAATAAATGAAAAAGGACAGTGGACAGGAAGAATAAGATTAACACTATCTTATTCATTTATGTTGGCTCCAGGAAGCCAGTCTGCACAGAATTCTCGGTAGAGGAAAGTATCTAGGTCAAACAAAAGACATGTCCATATCCCAGTTATTTCACACTTCAGACAACACTATTAACTAAAAGCAAGTATCTTTTAACACTCTTTTGGAATATATATTTTTACATTCTAAATATGAAAAAACTGTTCTGGTATTCATAGAAACATGGATTATCAAGGTGGAAATATTCTTTAAAACAGTTTTTTTTTTCTAATCAATTAAAATTCTTAGAGAGGAGGGAGGAAAGATGGAAATGGAACGATAGACTATACACTAATATGCATTTGAAAAAGGGTAGCTTCTCTTGTCAAAATCTTGGAAAATAAGATACAAGACTTAGGAACTGTAAACTTGAAGTGCTGTTACAGTGAAGAGAAATTGTCACATCCGACTACCAACAAATGGCATTCTCCATTCATGGGTGTATGACAGTCACTCACAATACCCTAGTATATTTGTGGGACACTCTGATTTCATAATGACACATCTACCTCAAAAACTTCATTGTTAAGTCCAGGTTACTGTAGCGTTAGCATTTGAGATTCTCACATTATGATCAGGACATAAATACCCATGTAATATATCTCATACCATATCATAAATTTAAAATAATTCTATGATGGGATAAAAATCCAAAACTCACTTGAAACATTGAAACACTATAGTAAAGGAAATTTTCTGACCACCCGTCTTTTGACCATAGAAAGAATAATATACCTAACGTTGTTTTTTGTTTGTTTGTTTGTTTTGGATTCTCAGCTATCAAAACCTCATCCCTGGCATCCAGATATTGTTGATGTTCAGATTATTACTCTTGGGTCCTTGGCTATAACTGCTATCCCAGGGGAGTTTACGTAAGTCTTTTTATTTAGTTAGAAATGTGTTTATTGTGTGTTTCTGTTGGAATTAATTCCCATGGGAAGACAGTTCTGTATTAATCTCTTGATATCATACTCGACTGTGTTTGGCAACAGTGACAAATATTTCTACCTGCTTTTGGTGGGGCCTCTGAAGAATAAATCTGTGCCTATTAGTGGTGGTTCTACTGAAATAATCATAAAAATGTATGAACTTATCATTTCTAAAGTAAAGTAACCTCCTGCATTATTGGGTCAGTACAAAACCTTGAAATAATATTAAAATACAGTACTTGAAGCAATCAATGTAGGTGTTAAAAACATGTAAGAATGCTTTAGACCTACTTCCTATGTAATCTTTCCTATCTCAGTAAGTGGCACTTTTTGCAAACCCAGTTGCTCAGGCCCTGTGTCTCAGAGCCCATCTCTGAATTTTCTCTTCCTCTTTGAATACTTCAGTAAATTCTGGGCGTTCTATACAACCCTTTCTATCATTTCTCTCTGGGCTACTACTATCTCCCACTCAGACTATTTCAATAACCCCCTATTTTTCTGCTCAATTCCCTTACTCCTCTATATTCTCTTCAGAACATATGAACCTTCCAATAGCTTCCTGTTTCATTCCAGACAAATCATCAAATCTTTACAATATTCTCCAAGTTCCTCTGCAGGCTCTTTGATGGGATTTCTTACCACTGTTTCCTTGCTCACCCCTGCTTCAGCTACCCTGTGTGTTTGCATTGGCAAAGTGTTCTTATGGAGGGACCTACACAAGCACTTCCTTGACTCACTAAAGACGGTCTTGATTCAAGCCTTTAAACTTATGGTTCCTTCTGCCTACAACACATTCCCTCCAGTTATCTTCATGGCCAGATCTTTTATTCTTTCAAGCCTTTGCTTAAATCTCTAACAGGGATGTCAGTCATGCTCAAACTATATGAAATAGTCTTTATCCACAGTTACTGCCACCACTGTCACCTCAACTCCTGCATCAACACCTGCATCACTGCCATTGTCACCACATGACCACCAAGCTTCCTTTTCATTTTTACCCTGCTTTATTCTCTAGAGCGCTTATGTCACCTCGCATTTTTATTTATTTGTTGACCCTCTCTCCTCCCGGGAATGTAAACATTGTACTCCTGAATTATTAGCACCAAGATGTGGGCTGTATTTGTGGTAGGTACTCAATGTTTCATTGAAGAATTCACCATCTGAATCAAATGGCAAGTTCTTTATAGGCAGGAATAGTAGTAGTACACTTTCTCCCTGCTTTTGCTTTTATTTACATGGATTACATTTGGTGTTTTTTGTTGAATCAATGAGTAGATAATGATGAAGACCTTTTGCTGTTGATATTCACTGATTCTGTACTCCCCTAGTATCAAAATGACTGTCGTCAGTTTGAATTTCTGTTGAAGATAGGACAGTACAGGAAAACCCCCTCAAATTTAGCTTCGTAGCATCATTGAGTTCCTACATACTTCACTGTTATATGATCTGAGCCAGGGCATTTTTAAATTTTTACTAGAAGTCTCTCTGTACACTTTGTACACATTCTGAATAGGAGAACGTTTACATAATTCTGTTTTCTTGACTTAGGACCATGTCTGGAAGAAGACTTCGAGAGGCAGTTCAAGCAGTAAGTTAAATATGAAATAAAATTCCAGACTTTCATATTTGGTGAAGAGGAAAGAATTCCCTATGTCTTTTAAATTATTTTTTTCTGATGGCTAGAATATTATACTTCTTGAAATTAATGGCTAGAGATTAATATGGGTGGTGTAAGAACTAGACTTTAAAAATACAAGGGAATTATTATCCAGTTAAATACATATTTTATATGTATTTATGTTTAAATAATGTAAAAGTTGATAACATTTATATGGATTAAATAGTAAATAATCCCTAAACTTACTATTTTAAACTTTATAAATGGTATAAATAAAATTTATTACATTTTGGGCATTCTGTTTTTTAATCTATATTTGTGGTTTCCTTTATATTTGGAAACTATTATAAATGGCATATAAAATGACATAGAAATAGATGTGTTGTTACTTGGAACTGTAAATAACTATCAGGTTAGCCATCCATCCCATCCATTCATTATATCTTTTAGGATATTGATTTTTAAAAAGCCCTTTATTTTAGTAATAACTAGACTTTACATCTGCAAAATGTGACCATTAATATGTTCAGAGGGTCATTGACATACCCAACTGTAGTGCAGAGTTAACGTTGCTAACTTTTCATCAAGGACTCTGATACTTCTGCATTCCTTGACAGTTTTGCTCATTGAGAACAGTGTTGTTAAGAGACACATCTTACGATAGAAATTCACATAAGTGATTGCACATTCAGTTCTATATAAAATAGTCTTTACATGATACCACTACCATCATCAATCACATCCACACCAGCATCCACACTGGCACCACCTACCCTTATCACCATAATGATCACCATTCTGGAGCCATTAGTCTGGGATGATAATAACTTTAAGATGGAGAATAATTTTACTGGACTCTACTTTTTCCTCCTAGGAATTTGCATCTTATGGAATGAAGAATATGACTATTATCATTTCGGGTCTGTGCAATGTTTATTCACATTATATTACCACTTATGAAGAATACCAGGTAAAGTAAAAAGCTCTCATCATTTACATGAATTACATTCTGGCCAAGACTATTGTGTCCTATGTACACTTCCTAAACTTCTGCAATCATGTTTCTGAGGGATGATTTTGTTTTAGGTGGGGAATATAAGCTAATGATCAGCCAGAGGTTGTATTTTGGAGTTCCAGGTTCATCATTTCCAAGTTCAGGTCAGAATTCTAATCTCACTGACTTACACCTTACCTAGAAAAAATGACTTTGTCAGGGGTACTGGTAATAAGCTTAAAAATAACTATCCATAGTGCATTTTGTGCTGTAAGCCTCTGCAGAACCTGGGAAAACTCTCACTGACAGCAGCTACTTAGTTACTAGTTAGGCACTTTGCAAATGTAATCTAAGTAATCTGTGTAGTATGTGCTAAGGTAGGGTATTATTATATCTGCAATGAAGATTAAGAAGCAAGAGATTTTAGGGGAGCTGGTCTCTGGTGTTGCTTCTTGGTTTACAAATAGTCCAGAAAGCAGCCCAAGTACTTTTTATTTATAGTAAACACATTAAAACAGTCAAGAGTTCCACAACCAATGATTTCTAATATACACCTGCTGTTTATATCATGGTAATCCACACAGATGCACATGGTGATACCAGAAGTGAAATCTACTCTGTGGCCCTCCATTGGCTTTGCTGAAGGTCCCTGACTTGTAAAAATCCTGTTTATGCCTTTCAACTTTCTGAAACTATAAAACACCTGAGATAATCAACTTCTAAAGAGGAAGGTTTATGACATCTCATAGTCTGTGACTGGGTGGACCCCCTGATTCATGGTAGGGGTGCTGAAGGGCAATGGCAAGAGTGTGTGGTGGAGCAAAGTCATTCACCTCATGGCCAGGAAGCAAAAATGAGAGAGGAAAAGCTGGGGTCCCACTGTCCACTTCCAGGTCATGCTTGCAATGACCACAAGACCTCCTACTAGGTCTAACCTCTGAAAGGTTCTACCATCTCCCAAGAGCACCTTGATAGAGACCAATACTTTACCACATAGACCTTTGGAGGACATTCCAGATCCAAACTATGGCATTTTTGAATATGAGTTCTTAACTAGGCAAACTAGGAGAGGGATGATTACATTCTTTTTTCACCATTATTAAGACTGTATATAATAAACAACAATAATATTAGCAAATACCTCTGTTTTTGTTACCAATAGTAATCATAGATATTTTAATATGACATAAAATGATTGCTGATCTGGAAATATCTTTTATTCCTTTCTCTATTGTAAAAGCAGAGTAGTAGCTATTAGATCTTGTGTTTCAATAGCATAACAAAGCATACTGGCTAGCAAAATTGGTTATTATAGTTAGATAAATTCATTTTAATCTAATTCATTTCCTTTGTCAATCTCATGTTATTTTATTTTAAAATCACTATTCTAAGAGTGGTCCATAGATCCAACAGTCTGCCAAAGGAGTCTATGGCACAAAGTTGAGAACCCCTACCAGCTTGTCTTCTGGTCCAGGGGATGTGGACCTGCAAGGATTACTATGAAGTCATTAAATAATCAAACAGATAAGTACTAGTAACAGATGCTGTACTAGTCACTTTCTGGGATATAACAATGAAAAGACTCCATTCCTGCCTTTAAGACCACTGGAAGCTAATGTCTAGTAGAAAGAGAACAGATGATCCCATTTCTGTGAAAGGTATGCGCAGGTGATACAAAAACAAGGAGAAAGAGCACTAGTCTAGTGTGTGTATTTGAGGACAGAGACTGGAAGATGTAACATTTTGTCTGAATTATTGAGAAAAAGTGAGTGTTCGCCAAACAAATAAAATTAGGAAAGTGTTCTATATTGAGGGGAGTGAACACACACAAAGGACCAGAGGGACAGACTTAGCACATTAGTGGACCATAATTAGTGAGTGTTTGGAGTAAGTATGTTGAGGGTGGTGGTGAGACAAGGGCTAGGACGGGGGCAGGGGTTAGTTGATGGAGAGTCATCTGTGTAGTGTAACATAACAGAGCTTTGGCTCAGTAAGGAAGGCTCTGGGGAAATGCAGTAGGATTCAAGCAAAGGAATGCTTCAGTCTATTCTGTGATTTAGAAAGGATGTAGGATAACAGTGTGGAGAATGAATGTGAAGGCCACGTATAGAGACACAACTGATTATGAAGTTGTAGCTAAGATCTGGAAAGAGATGTGGGTTTTGTACAAGAATTGAAGGCACAGGAAAATGGACAGACTCAAGAAATTTTAAAAGAGGGAGAATGACATGATTTGGAGTCTTAGAGGATGTAGGATGAAGGAGAAAGAAGAGTGTAAGTTGACTATCAGAGGATCCTTGTGTGAGAATCTGGAAGGATGGCATTCATTGGGATGCAGAATGTTGCCAGGAAGACTGGTGGTCTGGAACGCGGTGTGCCCTTTTGTATTTGATGATGGCGAGGGTCCTGTGGAACAACCAAAGGCCTGGTGCTCAGGTAGAGAGAGGGCCTTTTGACTCTCATTCTTAGTGCTGCTTGGGTTAAAATTCCTTCTCCAGAGAGGACTGTTAATACCTAATTGATCCAGGAGTTACTATAACTATTTTAACCCTATTTTTTTTTCTCCTGATGTGTGCTCTTGGGAAAATCACTTCACAAACACAAGCTCAAGAGCTGGTACCCTCTTTCAGATTGAATGCAGTGGTAATATCAATGGTATAAGCAGAGATATTAATGGTCATTAATGGCCTTTTTAATTAATTTTTTATATATGACAGTGGAATGGATTACAATTCATATCTCTGGTTGTATACAAAGTATATCCACATCAATTTGTGTTTTCATACATGTACTTTGGATAATGATGTACAACACATTCCAGCATCATTTCTAACCCCCTGACCTCTCCCTTCCCCTCCCACCCCTCTGCCCTAGTCTTTAATGAGTAACTTATGAGACCCATTTACTTGGGCTGGTAAATGGAAATGCCCACATTCTTTTTTTTTTTCTAAATAATATTGAAGATGAGGCTGGTTTTGAATAATGTGGATATCCAACCTAAAATGTTACACCTCTGTGAATGGTTTGTTTGAAATATGCAGAACTGACTATATCTCTGTTTGCTTCTGCAGGCTCAGCGGTATGAAGCAGCATCTACAATTTATGGACCACATACTCTGTCTGCTTATATCCAGCTCTTCAGAGGCCTTGCCAAAGCCATTGCAACAGTAATTAAATACCCGCCGTGTGTGTGTGTGTGTGTGTGTGTGTGTGCATGTTTGCCTCATGGGGAGGAGGTATAGAGGGAGGAAAGAGAAAACATTACCTTCATATGTTCAGTTTCTTTGACAACCTTTATATTAAACAAAAAGTGCATCTACCTGAAATACATACAGGGTTCCCTACAAGAAACATAGCTTTGTGATATTTCTTAAGAAAAAAACCCAACATTTTACTGATAGTAAAATTCAAATTCAGTTAACATCTTTAGTGGTGGCATCTTTTTCTTATATTTAATTTTTTCATTCTCACAATTATCATGAGAAGAAGATATTGTTTGCTTTCATTTTTAAGATGAGCAAAAAGGCTCAAAGATAAGTCTCAGGCCTACTATAATTATATTTGGATGTTGGACCAGTGCTCTGTTATCCTTGCCAGATTCTCTGACTCACTTCAAGAGTTGAGTAGTGCATCAATTGTAGGATGCCAATTTTCCACATTATAACATCTCTAAAACTGGGGTGTATCTTCTAATCAGAGAAATCTTACCATTATAATTAATAGCACTTTTTTTTACTATCTTGGTGATTAAAAACATAATATAGGTCATTATTGTGAGTGGATGCTTAGATTTTATGAAACACAGTATCACCTTGGGATGCACACTACCTTGGAAGTGCATCTACCTGAAATATATACAACTGAGCAAGTTTACTTAATTTAAAGAAACTTTAATTGTGGAAATCGTTCTTTTGGGATACAGTTAATTGTGAAGCTGCACCTGTGGTACCAGATTAGTCAACAAGTAGGATAAAGATTTTAAATGATCAATAGACCCTTATATAATAACATACAAGCCTCTATAAAAGCTGTAAAATGATTGTGGTGAAGCACAGACAATAAGGCCTTTTGAAAGAAAGAGCTTGGATATATGATATAGGAATAGATGACATTGCTGTCCTGTAGGTACAATTGATCAAATATTGGCACTTTCATATGCCTCTGCCATTTGATTCTCATTGTGTATAAAAATTTCTGCATGTTGTGTTTACTTTGCATGTCTTTAGTGGCATACACCTGTAATCCCAGCAGCTTGGGAAGCTGAGACAGGAGGGTTGCAAGTTCAAAGCCAGCCTCAGCAATGGTGAGGCAATAAGCAACTCAGTGAGACCTTGTCTCTAAATAAAATACAAATTAGGGCTGGGGATGTGGCTCAGTGGTTGAGTGCCCTGAGTTCAATCCCTGGTACTCCACCCTTAAAAAATTACTTGATTTTTATTTTATCATAGTTTCTCAGTTTAATTGTGTTACTTTTTTGATGTAAAACTATTTGTACTTTCATTTTTATTATAAAAGCTAAAACTACTTGTGGAGTATTTAAATTATATAAAAATATAAACCTATAACCTATCCTTAGAAAGAACTATTGGGTAACTTTGGTTGTAGCCAGAGATTTCTAGTTCTTCTCACAGAAACAAATTCTTCAATTATGGAGTTTATTTAGTGAAGAAAACTAGTTCAGTCTGTGAAAATTTGATCTCCTTTACAGTAGCACATTTAAGACTACCTATGTGATCTTGAAAAAATGACTGTCTTCAAGTCTATTTTCTCACTTTCAAAATGAGAATGGTAATACATACCTGTCCCATATTGCTGTTGTAAAGATAAATACACATTGTGAAGGTTAAATAACATTAAATATATACCAAGAGCTATTAAGTTTGAGATTCACATTCTGAGGAAACTATTAGAAATGGTAAATTTTGTGGAAAAGAGACTAAACCAGTGAGGATGTCAACTGATCTTAAATTTTTAAATTAAAATGTGTTTATTATTTTCTTTAATTGTTATAGACAAAAATTCAGAAGGAAAATTGGTACTGACTCTAGGAGAGTTTCAACACTTTTTGTAGATTCAGAGAACAATTCCAGTGTCATATTATGAAGGCTTATCATGTGTTAAGCTCTTGTCCTAAGGCCACACAATTTAAAAATGGCTGCCCCAGAATCTAAACTTGAGTATTGTGCTTACAAGCTTCCTCTCTGATCCCTGTACTACACTTCTCAGGGGAATAAAACAGAAACCTCTGACCAAAACTTTCTTCTAATGGCAAAATATAAATGATGGTCACGCAGGCTCACATTTTGTTAAAGGTTGTTAGCTGTGTGTGTGTGTGTGTGTGTGTGCACTTCCTTTAATGAAAGCATTATTTCTGGAGATGGATGTCTAAAAGGATCTTTGATTCCACATTGTGTTCTTTAAGCAAATGCTCTCTGTTTCAGGATACAGTCGCCAACATGAGCAGCGGTCCAGAGCCTCCATTTTTCAAACAACTGATTATCCCACTGATTCCTAATATCGAGGATAAACCACCAATAGGCAGAAATTTTGGAGATGTCCTAGAGCCAGTGAAACCTAAATACAGAGTGGTAAGACTCAGAGAGATGTTTTAAAATATTTAAGAGGACATGTTTTTGGAGGTGAAGGGAAGGATATTGTTTAATATTAAAATCTACTACTAATCATACCATAGGGCAGCTTTACCAGTGATCATTTTGAGAGTTATTTTCTGTAGAGACTCTGTAATAACGTAAGTAAAGAGAATGGGAAATGTTTTTATTTTTCCAGGGGTAATTATGTAAAATTAGATTTCTATACTATAAAATATTATTTTTTTCTTAAATGGATGGTGAAAGAACCATTTGCTGGCGCTGAGAGAATATGTCTTTTAAATCAAGCATATGGAAATGAAGCAGGATCTTTACCTGTGCGTTTTATGTTGAGTGTGTGCTCTACAGAGTCTTGCTAAATCATTTCCAATAGGTGGGTTTTCTTGTTTGTTTGTTTGTTTGTTTTGGTATGGATTCCTTAGGAATTTCAACATATAGTATCATGTCAATTTTAAAAAAATAGCTCTGTGTATGTTTTCTGGATGTCTTCACTTTTTTTTTGTTTTGTTTTGTTTTTGTTGTTGTTGAATGGTCTAAAACCTTCAAATACAAGGGTGAATAAAGTTGTGAGAATGGACATCCTTGCTTTGTTTCTGATCTTAGGTGAAAAATATTCAGTGTTTCCCTCATTTAATATGACACTTTCTTTAGGATTTTTGTATATGACCTTATCAGGTTGAGATAGTTCTTTTTGATGCTTCATTTGTTCAAATTTTTACTTGTGGTGGGTTTTGGATTTTTGCAGATGCTACTGAGGTGATCATGTTTTGTTTTGTTTTTGCTTTCTACTCTATTAAAATGGTATATTGCACTGATTTTCAGATATTAAATACTCTTTCATCATGGCGTATTCATGCTTTTTCCTGTTGCTGACACTAATTTGCTGATATTTTGCTAAGGAGTTTTATATCTTTGCCCATGAGGGATATTTGTAGTTTTCTTTTGTTCATTGTCTTTGTCTGCAGAGGTTGCAAAGAAAAAATTGGATAGCATGTCCTCTTATATTTCCTGGAAAAGCATGCAGAAGATTATTTGTGTCATTTCTTGTGTGAATATTTGATTAGATTTATCTGCAAGAGTCTATGGAATTAGGCTTTTATTTATGCCAATAATTTTAATTACTTATTTAATTTCTGTACTTGTTATAAGCCTACTCAAATATTCTATTTTTTTCCTTTGAGTCTATTATAGGTCTTCCCTAGAATTTAACTTTCTTTTTAGTAATCTTTATCTTTCTAGCAATTTCCATTTGTCTAGAAACTTTCCCACTTTGTTTATGTTGTTTAAGTTGTTGGTACAATATAAAATTTGTTATTCATAATATTCCCTTATAATCCTTTTAATTTCTCTAGGGTTGATAATATTGCCTCCTATTTCTTCCTGATTTCAGTAATTTGTGTCTTCAAAGAACTAGATTTTAGTTGTATTGCTTTTATCTATGGTTTTATTTATTACTAAGCTTTTTAGGAAGGGCCAGAAAAACTTTTAGTCTAGGGCAAATCCATTCTCCCCTACCCCTCACCCTATCCCACTGAGGTAAAGCTCTTCTTAATTATAAAGTTTTCTAATCTGGTTGATGGAAACAGAACTTTTTACAACTCCATGTGAACCTGGGGATTCTTCCACCTAATTCTTTCAGGTGAATCTTTTCTGGTTTCAGGTAGCTCCCTTGCATGCTTGTGCACTTAAACTATGCCTTCTGCAAATTTTGAGTTCTCACCCTTCCCTGCCCCATTAATTCTCCTTTCTATGGTACTCTGCTCTCTGGTACTCTAAGCTGTGAACTTATTCAGCCTTCCTGAATTCCCTCCTCCATACCTTCAACTTAGGTAGACTCCCTGGCTTGACTTGAATTTCTTTTTGTGTTATGGCTTTTAAACTCTGAAGGCATTAACTTGGAGCAATTGTTTAAAGAATAATAATAATAAAGAAGAGACAAGGCACAGAGGCAGGGAAGTTGGCAGAGCAGTGTCCAAGCGGCCATGCTTATTTATACCAATAGGTTACATTAGGTCATTAGTACCATAACCACATTATTGTTTAGAGTATCAATAAGGTTGCTTATTGTGCACTTACATTTCATAGTTACAATATGCAATGTTAGGAGCTTTGTGCAGTTCTCAAGAAAGTCCATTGTGTGAAGTTACTGTTAGGCTGGTAGTTCCAGGAGTACTGGAGCTTGGTGAAACACTGTAGTTATCTAGCAAATAAGTTCTTCTGTTCCCAGGAGCTATGTGCCTGCAGTCAAGGTGGAGGCTTGATGAGGCTCTAACTCGGAGGCATCTCAGGGCATTGCCATGCCAGATAGACATTGCACATATATTAGCTATGTTACTAGATCCTAAGAAAGATTGCAGGGCATTCTAAGGGTAGGAAACAGGGTGCTTGTTACCCTCTAGGAGTTTGCTCACCAGGGGAACGCTTTCCTATATATTTCCACGGTCAGAATCTCTACACAATTGTAGAGCTTACATTCCTTGTTTTCTACCACTCGGGGATTGCTTTTCAGTTTTTAAATTATTTCAGGTGGTAGAGTACTGCACACCCAGAGACTCCATCTTATAGAAATATAAGATAAGTCATACATGGAGTGTTTTAACTCCTCTTATTTGATTCAGCCCATTTCCTGGGTATGTGTGGGAGGGAGGCATGAGAAAATTTCATCTATATCTGAATCTACCAGAAGAAAATTCATTGACCCCATGTTCATTGTTACAAGGGTATTTCTCATCCTTTTCTTAGAAGGTAGTCATGTGATTAAATAGAAAAGAATCTATATAGGCATCCAGAACATATAGTAGATAATGACTTGAATATGAGTACAGCAAAAATTCTTTTATTAGAGCTCACTAAATGAAATTTTTATTTCTAGGGAGAAGTTGCTGAAGTTACATTTGTAGGTGCTAACCCAAAGAATTCAGCAGAAAACCGGGTAAGCATCAATTGTCTTTACAAATTTAAATTCTTTTAGAGGTTCACAACATAAAGAAAAAACGTGCAAACTTGTTTTGCATCTTATTTTTTGAGGTGGGAAAATATGCAGTGGATAAAGTTAATGTGAAATGGAGTCTGGAAAAACAGTACACAGGAGACATCTAACCTGGCTCTACTTAGGACACATATGGCACAGTTCATATAGGACTGTGTTGTCTTTTTAGATGATGTTTGAACACAATCTCATTTATGTACTCATATTTAGAACTCCAATAATTTGTCAAAATAATTAAAGGGCCAAGCAAGTGAACTGTGTCCTTAGTTCTGTCTCCCTCCTCTGTGGGCCTCTCCTTCTTCTCTAGTATTGTTGCCCCTGGTCCCACCTCCTTTGCTGGGGGATGGTTACGGATCCCTGGGTGGATGCCTTGTGGGTGTGGGTTCTGACCCACGGGCTTTACTTTACTTTTTATTGACTATTCCCTACTCTTGACTGCTGGCACTAACAGGGTGCTTATTTATTAATCTTGCAAAATGGCATCAGAACCACTTGTACAATGCAAAAATGAACACTGTAGAAGTATATAAAATAGAAAGTGAAAGTACCCTTCTTCTTATAAATCTGCTTTTCAGAGGAAGTGTACTATTAAGAGGTCATAACATAGCATTTTAGACTTTCTTATAGGATATAGACTTTCATATAGGATCCATGGTATCTCCTACTCCATCTAAGGCCTTCCCAACTAACAGAAACAGTTAATAGGCCCTAACTAGACAGAAAAATTCTCTTTATAAGTTGCTATGATTATGAAAATTTCTTTTCATGACATATATGATAAATTATTCACATATGCAATGTATCTAGTAATAAAATGAAGTAATCTTACTCTTCTATGGCTTCCTTAGGATAGTCTTAATAACCACACAAGTAATAATGGGATACATTCTGGTTGCAAAAATTTAAACAGTGAATAAATCCGTAGAGGAAAACAAAATTGGCATATGAAAATGATTTCAAGGTTGTATATTTTACGGGGCTAAGAATGTATTTGCTTTATCCATGAGCCATTTGCCTAGGGTCCATAGTCACTTATAATCTAAAATACCTTTCTTCTAAATGAGCTTTCCTTTTAAAATGCTGGTATAGCCATGATAACCATTGTGGCCCTATGACATTGTCAAATATGAGATTGGGGGTAGTGTTCTGCTTGAATAGTAAATATGTACCTATTTGAAATAATTTCACTGGGAGATCAAGCTATACAAGGATATTAACATGCTTATAATATTATTTTCTGAAGATATTGGAACATTATATTGGGCTTAGCTGTCATCCTATATCCTTAAGGTAGAGAAGCACTGTCATCATTAATGCCATGGAGAAGCAGGAGAACAAAATGCTTAAATGAGTAAAAACTATAATGAGAATAGAATTAATTTCTATGAATGCTCAGGGACTTTGTGCAAAACAATTTCTAGTACCCTTTATTTTTAATAATCATTATATCATCATCATTACTATTTAATGCATGCTTGTTAGTAGTAGCTACTAGCCTAAGTACTTTATATGCCTCATCATGTAAATCTCATTTAATCCTCATTACTGCCCAATACATTGTTTTACTGTCCTTAATCTATAGATGAGTAAACTAAACCCTAGAAAGATTATGCATCTGGAATAGTTTATGATACCCGTGTTTTGTTCCCAATGTTTGGTGGCTTCTACTAGTTTTCCAGTTGGTATTCTAGATGTAGTAATTAGGATCCATGGTATCTCCTTCTTCATCTAAGGCCTTCCCAACTAACAGAAAAAGTTAACAGGTCCTGGGCTAGGGTTGTGGCTCAGTAGTACCGTGCTCGCCTAGGATGCATGAGGCACTGGGTTCGATTCTCAGAACCACATAAATGTAAAATAAAGATATTGTGTCTACCTAAAACTAAAAAATAAACATTAAAAAAAAGAAACAGTTAACAGGTCCTAACTATACAGAAACAGTTCTCTTTACAAATTACTATGGTTATGAAAACTTCTTTATTGAATGCAATCCATCAGTTGAATAATTAGAAAAGAATTTAATATAATTACATGGCTCAGTGTAAGTAAGCAGTATATTCAATAAAGGGTTATTTGAGCTCTGGTAAATGACAGGTGTAAAGACTATGATGGATAAAGCTGACTTAAGCACAAGTCCTATCTTTAAGGGTCACAGTCCAAAGGATTTTGAGGGAAATTGAAGATTTACGGTCTTTGCATTGAATAGCTTGTCATATTATTCAAATCTGTACTTTATTTGAAGCTGAATTCTTGGTCTGAAACAGATTGCTGTGTTACAGTGATCTTCCAATAGGGAAATAAAATCTGCTTATGATATGGTTTATGGGAATCCATTATGACAAAATAGAGGGACTGCCTTTAGCACCACAGGACAGAGAAGGTTTAATATATTATTTTCAGTGCTTTCACTCAGGGAGGTGCTGTAACTAATAATTCATTCACTTGGAGATGGAGAGATGAAGAAACTTTTCCATTTTCCCTCCTAAATCACTAGGCAACTAGAGAAAGCTTTAGAATATAGATCAAGAGACACGTCGTGAGAAGCCTTGACTTATGCCTTTTTTAAAGTCTCCAAGTTTTATTTCGAGTTTCTTTTCAGCTCTAACCTCCAAAATTTGCTTTGAGCTCCATAATTACACTTCCTTCAAATTTCTAAAAATGTCTTGGTTTTTAATAGACTGGATAAGTTAACATTATGAGGCTATGGCATAGGTTAAGCGGAACGCTTAAGGATTCAGATGAAATTCAAATACATTTTCATACAAGGTTGACATGTGGTCATCAAAAGGTCTTAGTACAGAAAGGATCCTTTTTGTGACTGTGCAGTGCCTGATGAGTTATGTTAATTGCATTTCAGACCCACCAGACCTTCCTCACTGTGGAGAAATATGAGAACACTACAGCAGCGTGGCAGATAATGTATAATGATGCCTCCTGGGAGACTCGGTGAGCATGACTATGGAATATTTTATCTTTGTATATGTGTAAAGCCTCGAAAAGAGTTGGTTAGTAATGCAGGAAAGGCAAATGAGAAGAATGACTCCATATGGTATTTATGGTATCAAAGTCCCCAGGATTCTCTGGCTTTATTTAATTGATTTTTTTTAGACAAAATGGTGTGGTGTGTGCTTCTACAATGTTAGGTGCTAATGAGGTTATGGCTCCTGTCTTATAGACATCTTGGCAGTTTTTTTCTTTCCATGATTACAGGTATTACCCTTAAAAAATTGACTAACCTTCTTGCAGATTGGTTGAAAGGGATCTTGGTTGAGGGAGTGGAGATGTATCTACAGAGCTCAATGTTCCTATTGGGTAAAGAACAAGTCTATTTTCAACTTGTAATGCTTGTTTGTGTATGGCCAGTAATTCTTTATTTGAACTATTGAAACTTAAGAAGTTACATTTAATTTAATTAATTACATTTAATTCTTATAGATGCAAGAAAAGAGGTAATAAGCTCATGGCATTCCTTCAGAGAAATACATACATTTCAGTGTCTTTTATTACCAGATTCTTGAGCTGAATAGATAATTTTAAGATTTTGACAATGTGTCTGAAATAAGAAAATATTTTTATTCTAAAGTCTATAACTCTCACACCATAAAATGTGGCATTTGGCAATTTGTGTCTGATTCAGATTGTTTTAAACCAAGTAATTCTTTGCATGCTGGTTTGGTTCACATGGTTAACTAAAAATAAGGATTTATCATATTGTGGTATTTTTGATAGCTATGTATAATGTTTTAGTTAGCTTTGTGTGTCACTGTGACTGAAAGACCTGATATGAACAACTTAAGAGTTGGAAAAATTTATTTTGGCTGATAGTTTTAGATGTTCAGTTCATGGTTGGCCAACTGCATAGCTTTGGGCCTGAGGTAAGGGAGAGCATCATGGAATAGGGGCTTGGAGGAAATCTGCTCAGAACATCTAGGAAACAGAGAGAAGAAGCAGAAAGAGTTCCATTTACCAGAGACAGAATATTAATTCAAAAGGCATATCCCCAGAGATATACTTCCTCCAGCCACACCCTACCTGTTACAATTACCATCCAGTTAATCTACATCAGTAGATTAATCAACTGATTAGGTTACATTCCTCAAAATCTAATCATTCTACCTCTAAACTTTCTTGCATGGTCTCACAAATGAGCTTTTGGGGGACCCCTTGTATCTAAACCATGACATACAAATACAGGCATGGGTTTTCTTTGGTGTGTAGGAATCTAAAATATAGGCAGTTTTTAAACAATACATATTTATTGTTAGAAAATGGTTATAGTGATAACAAGAAAGGATGATTTATTTTCAAAAGCTAAACTAGAATACCTGTCAGCACTGAGGATATGTTCAGACCTCTGCCTTGTTCATCAGGGTAGTTTGGTCAAATATTTATGGGGAGCACTGAGGCAGTCACTGAGACACACAGAACGTTGATCATACCCTCTGTGCCCGAGGTATTTACTTTCTGCACAGCTGAGGGATTGGCTAGTTATGCCATTGTGTTTCTTACAAAGGGTCTGGTCTCTGCGTGATCTGAGCCCATGTTTCTCTTATCTCACCACTCTTGCCCAGTTAACTGTTCCTGCAGACCTCTTTTCTGTTCCTTGGCCACTGCAAATTATTTTCTTCTTTGGGCACTTTGTATTCTCCGTATTCACTTTGATTTTCCTCCTCCAGGCATGTGTGGACTCAGTGTAAATGAGGACTCCTTAGAGAAGTGTCTTAGTCTTATTGTCTTTGTTGCACTTATTACTCTCGAAATTCTAAAATGTATGGGTTTATTACCTTTATTCCCATACCTACACCAATAAAATGTTAGGTTCATGAAACTTAAACAATCCTTTAAACCATCTTTATCTTGCTCACCACTGTATCTTTAGCTCTTATGTCTCAAAATATACATTTTAAACAACTAAATTGATATGAAAAGAAGTATCAGAGTCTGATAAGGACAAAAAGGATGCTATAGAAATTTAAAACAGGGGACATCTGTGTTCTGACGATCATGGAAGGCTTCCTGGGGTGGACAGAGTTTAGGTAGTTAGAAGGATAGAAGTAAAGATATTTCTACAAATAGCTGTTTTCTTCTAGAAAATAGGCATTTATGTCTATTCTGTTCAGTGTTATATCCTCAATGTCTAGAATAGAGCCTTGCTCAATGTAGGCACTGCTTGAATATTCATTGAATGAATAATCACAAATTTTTTTTTGGTACTGGGGACTTAACTCAGGAGTGCTTTACCACTGAGCTACTACACTCCCAGCCCTTTTACTAATCATACTTTTTAAAATTAATTAATTTATTTATTGGGTATATATGACAGCAAAATGCATTTTGATTCATTGTACACAATTGCAGCACAACTTTTCATTTCTCTGGTTGTACACAGTGTTGTACCATATGTGCAGTCAAATGTGTCTAATCACACATTTTTAAGAGTAAAATGGTGTTTTTCTTATTTGTTTTCTACCAACAGATTTTATTGGCACAAGGGATTTCTGGGTCGGAGCAATGCAACCATAGAATGGCATATTCCAGACACAGTCCAGCCAGGAATTTACAGAATAAAATATTTTGGACATAATCGCAAGATGGAGATCCTGAAGCCCGCGATCATACTTCCATTTGAAGGCATTTCTTCCATTTTTGAAGTTGTAACTACTTAGTGAAAAGTTGATATTTATTTTAAAGACCAGCTTTACTCTGTATGTACTGATTGCACATGAATGTGAACTAGTATTTGGACTTCTATGATCGCCCCAGTTTGGGGACAGATAGTTTACTGCTAATGGGACAGAGGAGTATGTGTGTGTGTGTGTGTGTGTGTGTGTGTGTGTGTGTGTGAGAGAGAGAGAGAGAGAGAGAGAGAGAGAGAGAGAGAGGAGAGAGAGGGCAGGGAGGGAAAGAGAGGTGTGTCCCATTCATCTTACTACAGCGGCCAAGCACCTAGCAGTTCACAACCTAAAGCATGATTTCCCTGAAGGCTTTGTGATTGTTTAAGGGACAGTTCTCTTCCATACAAAGCCTCTGAAATGTTAGTGAGAGTTTTTAAAGATGTGTGAACAATATCTAGTCTATTCGTTTATAGAATTATTGAATGTCAACACTGGAAGACTCTGCAAAAATCCTCTAGATTCAGCCTTCCTTTTATGGATGGAAAAAATGAGATTTTTTTTTTCCATTTAAGATTAGAATAAGGTTATAAGACCTTTCCTCCAATTGCATTTAAAAATATTATGTAACCTTACATAAATGTATGAGCTCGATTAGAGAAACAGAAAATTAGCATGCCAGTTTTTATACCCAAATAAGCATAGTCCATCAAAGCAGTCACTCTGGAGTTGGTATGCCTAGTTCAGAGCCGTTGATGATGCTCAAATCATTTCTGAATTTCCTTCAGAGCCCAACTGTGAGAAAGTCAGACTTGCAATATTTTGATCATGCCTTTTATTGCCTTAAGTGTCCTTATCCTGCTGGATTGTGTCTCTTATTCCCAAAACTTAATCTAAATGATTTTTGACTCTTTTCCAATCAAATTCACCCCAAACCACAAAGCTTTGTCATTAAGATGGAGTTTTCAATGGGAGTTTTACTGGCTGGAAGGCAGTCCTCAAAGGTAGGTTCTAAAGTCTCTTATCAATTCTTTTATCAGTTGCTCACTTGCTCATTCACATACTCACTTATGGACCTTCAGGTGTAGAATATTTACTAAATTTACATGTCCAGCATTGTCCTAGTATTTGGACCTCACTAATTAGTGAGATTATATTTGAGACAAAATATGTGTTAAAAGATAACTATTTTGAGGGAGAAAATTTTGAATTTGATACATAAGTTCTGGAGAGACATTTAAAAATCAGAAGTCATAAAATTGCATGTTGTGTTACTTCTGTGTTAGACATTCTAATTGGAGAGAATAGAGGCTGCAGACAATTTTGTAAATAACATTTTTAAAGTTATTTAGGGGGCATTGTGAAATACCCAGCCGGATGTTCCAAAGAATGAAAAATGATAGTCTAACATCAATTGCCTGAAAGTACTAATTGCATTTAAAATTATCTAAGTTATCTAGGAGCTCCCAGACTGCAAAGTAAATTTCCAAACTCCAAGTCACAGATTTTTGTATGTGTGAAAAAGCTTTAACACTTTAGGACAAAATCAACTTTTATTTCAAAAACAAACTTTAAGATTTAATAATAATAATATTAATAATGATAATACTAACATTCATTTATATATAGCTGAGCAACTCAAACATGATAAATTGAATTAGAATGAACCTGGAACACTTTTTGATGAATCAGTACTCCAGAGGGTTTTTTATGAAAGTCCACTGCTAAAGAATTAGCTAATGAGAATTTCCAAGGCTTGTTATCATTTTTCTTAATACCATATTTAGCATAAAAGTTTAGGAGCCAAAAGAACAGGTGATTCTGAAAGTAGTCAACCCCAACCAAAATAATAATTACATTAGAACTTATGATATGGGTTTTTAAAGTATTAATCACTACTCAGAAGAATTTATCAGTTATTTTCCAACATCTCCATTCCTCCTATTGAATATGTTCTCAAAAAGTTTGATTCCTTCTTGTTCATGGGCAACTGTATAAGGTGGTCTTTTTATCACCTGTGATCCTTCTGCCCCTCTGTTGAGTACTCTTGCTCCCACATAGACAGACACTTATTACCTCACTAGCTATCACTTCTTCCATCCCATGTAGCTGTATTTTTTGTGGTGCATAAAAGTAAAACAGAATTCCTGCATTATAGGTACACCTGAGCATGAACCATAATAATTCACCTGAGCATGAAAGAATCCCACTAAGTATTTAATCTGATCTAATAATCTAAAAGCCGACTCAGTCTATGTCTGTGACTGCTGTTGGGAATGGCTCATTGGAGCATAACCATGTGAAGGAAACTCCTAAAAATGGCAGGCAGTGTGGAAAATGGTGGGTTGGGTTGGAGGGAGAACTGTTTTGGAGAAGATTTTGTTTCTCATGTCAAAATGTCTGTGTTTTATTAGTTGTACTCTGCCTATTCTGATTTAAATGATACTGTGACTTCTGCAAAAAGCAATGAATGATTCTTCCAGGTCTGTATTTTTTCGATGAGTATTCTGTAAAACTGTTAATATTCAATAGAATATTTAATAATAAATTAAGAATTACACTTGGTATTTTCTAATGAAAAGTAATGTAGACAAATTAACATTGGTTTTTTTTTAAGAGAGATATAAAGGTAATAGATTACATGTGAATCAGATTGGAGAGGGAAACAACTTCTGTAAAGAACCATTCAAACAAAATAGAGTTACTTCTTCATCAGCTCCTTCCCAACCTCTGAAGATCAACTACTGGTAAAACACATGTGGTTGGCATTCTGTGTACTTACTTGGTCAACTTAAAGTTTCCTAGGCAGGTAGCTAATTATAAAATTGTTTTATGAGCTAATTCTGAACAAAGATACCAATAACAAATTTATTTGTGAATATCTTTTTCCAATCTACTCTCTTATGCTTCTTTTACAATGTAAGCAAGATCACTATACTTTTCTGAATCAGCACAAGGGTTGAAGCTTCAGGCAAATAATCTCATCACTAGATGGTCACCTCATGTATTCAGTGATTACAAATAGTATTTTTGGTTCCTGGGTACCCAGTGTAACTTTCTGGTTTATACTGGCTCTTGACATTAAGATAAGATAAGAAAAAAAAGATAAGAAAAATAAATAAATAAATAAAAGAAAAAAAGATAAGATGCCAGAGATAGAAGCTCACATATTCCCGTATGTTAAGGTTTGGGTATGAGGTGCCCCCCAAAAGCTCACATGTGAGACTATGCAAGAAGGTTTAGAGGACAAATGATTGGGTTATAGCTTTACCTAATCAGTTAATTAATCCCTGATGGGATTAACTGAGTCATAATTGGAGGCAGGTGGGATGTGGCTGGGGGAAACAGTTCATTGGGGGCGTGGCTATGGGGTATATATTTTGTATCTGGAGAGTAGAGGCTCTCTCTCTGCTTTCTAATCACCCTGTGAGCCACTTCCCTCTGCCATTCTCTTCCACCATGATGTTCAGCCTCACCTTGAGCCCTGAGGAATGGACATGGCTGTCTATAGACAGAGACCTCTGAAACGTAAGCCTCCAAATAAACTTTTTCTTCGCTACAATTGTCCTGGTAGGGTCCTTTTAGTCACAGTGGTGAAAAAGCTGACTAAAACATCACACAATTAGTTAGGGTGTGTTCAATGGGAAGTAACAAAATATTCCTAATCAACAGTAGTCCAACCATTAAAGACCACTAACAATATGTACAATCTCACACTGTAATCAGTCTTGAGGTGGCAAATTCAGGTTTTGGATAGCCACTCAATTATGTCATTGAAACATTTTTAAAAAAACATGTTGGCCTTAATTCTTTGGTTTATATTCTCAGTCAAAAAACATTTTTATACAATTGCATACAGAAGGAAAAGGGGAGAGGAAAGTTCTTTTCAGAATCTCTTTTTGGAAGATTGAAAATATTTAGTGGAGCACAAGTAGAATTTCCCTTCAATTTCCTTGTCTAGATCTGTGCTGCATGGCTACTCTTAGCTGCTAGGGAGAATTGGAAAGAGAATATTTGGTATTTTCTATTTCTAGAGAGAAGGCTAGTAATATTAATAGCAAGAATAAAGCAAGAATAGCAAGAATAAAGACATGGCGAAAGCAGATATTACCAAGCATGTCAATCAGGACAGATTAGATATGTAGCAACATTAGAGATTTATTTCTTGATTTATGAAATGTCCATTGTGGTCATCTGGAGAATCTGTTCTACATCTCAGGGACACAGCCTGATAGAAGGTCACACCTAAAACAGACTTCTATCATTAGGGGAAGTGGATCTGTGCTTCTGTGATTGGGGGTAGTGAACATGGAAATCACACATCAACTATTGAAGCTGCCACATGACTTTTCTTTTTATTACCAGCCCTGCAGGTTACCATAATATACAAGTGCTCAAGCCTCAGTTTCTTCATCTCAACATACCAAACTTAATTTCTCTTCAAAATAACTGGAGCTAGTTTTACTCTAGGAAAAATATTTTCAGAAAGAAAAGATGATGGAAAGGAATTACAATTTATATTACAGACTGTATGCATTCCTTTAGCAAATGTTAAGCACCTGTGTACTTTGTGACTGGCATTGTGCTAAGCCCTAAGGATAAAACAAGGTTGAAGGCACAGCTAGTTTTTTCCATCAAGGAACTTAAGAGTTTATTGGACAAAGTAGACAAGTAAACAGGCAATCACTATACAGAGTGACAACATGGCTACAGTAGTTCAGAGTATTGGAGACAGCACCTCATTGGGTCTAGGTGATATTGCACTAGGTTTCTCAGAAGAAATGACATCTAAATTAAGACCTAAAATATATGTGGAAATTAGCTAGAAGGATAATGGTGTGTGTGTGTGTGTGTGTGTGTGTGTGTGTGTGAGAGAGAGAGAGAGAGAGAGAGAGAGAGAGAGAGAGAGAGAGAGAAAGAGAAAGAGACAGATCATGCATGTGCAGGACAAGTGGACTATTCCAGATAGAGAGAATGTCAAATAGTTTATCAAGACTCTAGTTAGAGAACAAAGGAAGATTGGTCAGAGATATACTACTGAACTTTGCCTTCATAAATAGCAATTTGGTTTTATATTTGAATTAGAATCTTCTTCCTTAAAACTAATCACTTAAAACATAAATGTCCTAGACTGTATTTGCCCTTTGCTCTAATAATAAAACACACCCTTTATAACCAAGCCTATTGAGTTTTGTACCCAGTTTCCAGTTATACTGTTGTTATCATCTGTCTCTGTGGATTATGACCCCTTTTCTTTGAATTGAATTTACTGAGACTTATTTTTCTTTTATCTCATGTTTCCAAATATCTAATTTCTTTTTGCATTGTTATATCTATTAAGGTGGGAACCCCAGTGATGGGGTCCAGAGTTCTAGCCTATATACCATATTTCTTATGTATCTTAAAAACTAAGCTACACACATAAACTTCAAAGTAGCTTACCCTACACAATGCTAAGTTATCAGAAATTCTCTTTCTGTTGATTTTGTTTTTAGATGTGTTTTTGAATAATAAACAAGTTAGAAATCACAGTGTATTGGCTCAATACTAGCTAAAAGAAAATAGGAAATTGAAAATCCTATTGTCTGTATGCAAGAATCTGGAAACATTGACTTGAGTATTTTTTCTATTTTATTAAAGGTTTTCTGTTTAATATAAAAGATTCACCTTTTTTCTCTAAACTGGGATAAACTAAACATACCTAAGAATTTAATATTCTGGTAATTGCAAGCTTGGAACCAAGTCCAGTAGGGTTACATCACATTCTCTAATTAGCCAATGACTGTGATGGTAGTGTAGAGGAAGATGTCCTTAAATGGTACTCAAAAAACTAGCCTGTGTGGATTTATAAAGTTGATGCCACCATCATGAGGAGAATATACACTCAGATGTTCTTTCAAAACAGTGATGGTGTTCTGCTGACTTGTGGGCTTTTATCTGTTTCTCTTAACCTCAACTCTTCACAAATGCAAAAGAATCTCTCATGGACTGAGGGGTAGCTTATAACCATAGATTGTAAATGGGAAGTTGTATAAAATGGAAGAAAAAAAAAAAACCATGAGCTTTGGAGTTTGGTCAACTTAAATTATGGCTGTGGTCTTGAGAAGGTCATTCTACTTTCTTGGTTAATGAAGTGGTTTTAATAAGTTGATTATTAGAAGAGAATATTCAGGAAACTAACTAGCTCAAATATCAGTCCCTCCACTTAATCAGAGTCAGAGCTTGAACACATTAATTTTGAAAAGCCTCAGTTTCTTCATCTCAATTTCTTACACCACTTGTATTTACCTTTCTAGATTGTGAGATTAAAATAAGGTAAAGCTGTTGGCACAGTGTGGGGTATATATATATATATATATATATATATATATATATATATATATATATATAAAAACAATTTACTTAGTTCTTATTTTTTTCCATTTTTTATTGATGCATTAGAGTTGTACATAATGGTGAACTTTGTTGCTACATACTAAATATGCATGCAATATAACAATATAATTTGACCAATATCATTCCCCAGTATTTGCCCTTTCTCTCCCCCTCTTCCTCCTTTTGGTTCCCTTTCTCTATTCTACTAATTTTCCTTTAATTTTTATAGGATATCCCCCCTGCTTTCTTTTTTTTCCTCTCTAGTTTCCACATATGAGAGAAAAATATGACCCTTGACCTTCTGAATTTGGCTTATTTCACTTAACATGATGTTCTCAAGTTCCATATATTTTCCTAAAAATGACATAATTTCATTTTTCTTTATGGTTGCATTAAAAACTCCATTGTGTATATATATTATGTTTTTTTATCCATTCATTCATTGGTGAATACCTAGGTGGGTTCCATACTACTTAGTTGTTAATTTAGTTAGCCAATACATAAGATAATACATATAAGTATTTGGAAAATAGTAGGAACTAAAAAAATTCTTCCACTGGAAACTGAATCATGATTGACCCTAAAGACACTATTCCTTCTCTAATTATTTTTAAAGATGTTCTTTGACATCTCTGAGATTAGTGTAGGAAGAATTAAAATGGAAAGAGAACAGAGGTTGTTAGAGTGGCCTAGACTGAGAGGGAATGGAAGCCAGAATGAGAACCAGAAGAATGGCTTCAGGAATGGTGAGAGGGGTGTAGGTGCATAAAACTTAAGAACTGAAATGGACACAACTTACTGATTAGACTAGGTGAGGAGTGAGAGGAGGAAGGCAGTTAAAAAACAATGAAAACCCTGAAATGTTGTTTGAAATTAGTAATAGTGAACTAAAAATCCAGAGTAAAAGAGACTTCAGGGAGATGGTAAATCTGGTTGTGGACATCTGAGACTTTGACAAAATGTCCAGGTAGCAAATTCCAGCACACACTGGGAAATGTGAGGTGGGGGCATTGGAGGAAAAAATAGAGCAAAAGATAAGAGATATGGGAAACATCAACTTGATTGATTGAAATCAAATAAATTGGTGATTTTGCTAGAAGAAGGGTATGGGGGGGCGGAGAAGAAAGATTGGAATGACAGGACTTTGGGACATATTTAATTTTAGAAAGAGGAAGGAGAAAAAAA